TTTGGATTTTCCGGGCTTGAAAGGATCACAAGCGGGCCTTTTTTCCTTCTCTTGAGATCAAAAGCCTTCAGGTGTTCACACCTCTATTCACAGACTCCCCCTCTGTCGCTCTGACAGACTGGTGGACATGGAAAAGTCCAAAAGGAGGCTCAAGGCTTTGTTGCAAGGCTTTTCGCCTTGTAATATTCGGCCCTCATCTTTTCGATGGACCAGCCCTTTCCAGAATGCGCTTTCTGGAATTTGTTCCACGGATTGGCCGGGGATGGTGATCTCTTCCGACCTCCATGGTGGCTGGTCTGAACCACCGCGCGGTGCAAGCGCTCGGATGCCACCATCGCCTTCTCGGCGACATGTCCAGCCACCATCGCCTGCTCGGCGGCTTGTTCAGCTGCATGCGCTGCTATCTCAGCGCTCTCGGCTGCTTTCTCGGCCTCATCAGCAGCGGCACAAGCTGCTTGGACCACACGCTCACTCGGCAAATCCAGCGATCGACTTGAGCTGGACCCACCACCTTTCTTCTGCCCCATAGTTCTGGCCATAGAGCTCCTCAATCTCAAACCCCTTTCTCCACTCTTGGTTTGAGCTTCCAAGGTGGTTTCTTCTTCACTGCTGGGGCTATTGTCAGCCTCGTCTTCTGTTGGTGAAGCTTCACCAACCCCTTTCTTCCTTGTAGTAGAGCTCCTCGATCTTGGTCGCCTTGAGGGCAATGGTGTGGTTATGACCCCTTCCTCAAACTCCAGCTCATCCCCTGAAACGTGCAGCTTGCTGGACAGCAATTGCAATCGACGGAGGCAACAATGCACCGAAGCGCAAATCGTCCTCGCAACCCAGATTGCCCCTATCACTATCAGCACTAGGCCGCACAGCCAGAGGTTGCCGAAGGTCTCGTCAGAGCCGGCACCACCATGCGCCTCTGCGGCTTGCACCAGCAAACCACCGGCCAACAAGGCCCGAAGAGCCACTTGGCGTTCTTGAGGCTGTGGTTGAAGCGGCTGTCCCCCACCCACCATTCTCTTCACTTGAACTTCACTTCGCAAGCCCAAGTCCTGCTGGAATCCAGTGAAGCTTTGACCCACGAGCGGCTTGGTCATGCCGTCTGCCACGAGCTCCGTGCCCTTCAAGTGGATGAGCTTCCAAGGGCCACCAGGAAACAGGCTTTGTCCCTCCAGAGCTTCTCTGAGGATATTGGAACGGACCCTCAGATGCCTTGTCCGCCAAGAGGTGGCTGAGTTTCCATGGGCTAACCCTATTGCGGCAGCATTGTCACCATAGATCACCCTTTCAAAAGTGTTGCCCACGAGCTGCTCCCCCCACATGGCACACAACAAAGCCTCTGTGGCTCTACCAGCATTCAAGGCCTCGCAATAGGAAACCAGCTCTGCTTCTGCGGTGCTGTGACATACGAAAGGTTGGGTCGAACTCTGCCAAGCCACCGGTGCACCAGCAAAGCATAGTACCAGGCCTTGCATGCTCTTGTGACCGTTGCCAGTGCCATAAGCTATATCAGCAAACACTTCAAGCAGCTTTTCGTGGCGCTGAACCTTGAGTTGGCTTCTGGCTCCCCATGGGTTGTGCATGTACCTGGGGTAGTGAAGATCTCCAGGTTTGTGCTTCACGTAAGCCAGGAGTTCATGGCCAATTTCAATCGCCTTGGCAGGGTTTCTGGTGACAAGCCTGCTCAAAGCTGCGACGCCATAGGCCAAATCTGGTCTTGATCTTGTTGACAACCAGAGAAGTGATCCGGCCAAGGCTTGTGCTTCCTTGATCTGGTTGCGATCGATGTCAGGCTGCTGTTCTCCGTCGGCCTCACTGACCTTGAAGTTTGGGAAAGCAGCTGCGCGAGTGACTTGCCATCTGGCGAGGATTTCTTGCTCATACTTGTTCTGAGCGATGTGGTACCCATCTCCATCAACATCAGGGGCAATCTCAAAGCCACAAAAATGAACTGGATTTGTGCTGGAAGCCCATTCGATGCTGGATGTGGCCCACGTGGCTCGCAGAGCATCCAAAGCAGCTGAAATGCTCCCCTCTTCACCTGTCAGCAGGATGTCATCGACGTACACGGACATCAAACCTGACCAAATGCGTTCACCAGAGATCGAATCCACCTCCTCCAACCGCCAGAGATTTTCATCAGCGGTCTTGCAGAAACTCCCCCGGACTTCACGATCTCCTTTTTGCCTGGTCCATGACATCTGAGGCAGCTTCGTGTCTCTATACTGTGACCAGTCACGAGGTGATGTCGTCAGGCCGTACATGGCCAATTTGACCAACCAAACCTCCCCTTCTCTTGCAAGTCCCAATCGCCGGTAGACGGATGGAATCTCCATTGCAACCAGCTTTCCGTCTTCCCGACGAGGAGCGTTCAAAAAGGCGACACGAATGTCGGTTGCTGCCATGGCCCAGCCTTTCAAAGATGCCGTTCTCACTAGGGCTCGTACTTGGCAACCGTCAGCACCACCCGCGTAGCTATCAGCATCAAAGCGGGTTTCAGAATAGT